CTTTTCGCATGGGGCCAACTTTTAAGCTTTCCGTAACGTACGTTAAAGCCTAATTTATCAAAGAATTTTTCGAATGGAACTGTTTTGCCTGAATAAATAACCGACTGAAAGGAACCGGTCTAATTTCGAAAATTTCGGGATTTCTCCAGCAGAGTCACTTTTATGTTATAAGAAATTCGATGAACATTCGGAGCAAGGGGATCTTGAAAGAGACACGAAGCTACGTGAAACAAATGTCAGCTGTGGGAGTGACGTATCAAATAAATTGAGAGCGGTGATCTGAGCCAATCAGAAAAAGTATTTTCAGCGGCGATTACGTGGCTTCCCTTTTGTGCAATGTATTTAGGCCGCTATTCGCTTTGATGTGTGTTAAATTGATTTTCCCATTACTTCTTTGTGTGTACTTTCTGTGCCGCTGGAATTCGGCAGCAACGGTCGGTCTACTCAGCTGTAAACCGGAATTCGAACGCTGTAGACAGACGGTACAGCCGCTAGTTTTGCGCTGCATTTGTATGATAGGCATAAGACTAATTCACTTTCAAGCAGGGTACGGCAGCGGCTTATATTAGGGGAGATAGAAAAACGACCATTTTTGTAGCACCTGCTGAGGTCATCCGTTACTCCAAATTGCTCACAAGTCACAATCTGTAATTTTCGTGCATTTGACTGTACCAACTAGACTGCCTACATGATGATAAAATTGTTTATTTTCTAGGACATACATATATAAACTGCGTACGCACCATCATATACGCAATCTTACACTCAATATTCAAACTGACGGCTAGTTGCTTACAATTAAAGTTATGATCCCTCCAAATGACAAGGCTGTGAGGGGGTGGAATCGCAGCGCGGACAAGACGACCTCTTCCACCACTGGTATCATGCTGAGTCCGCAGTAATGGCGGGAAGGCCCGTTCTGGCTCCGATTCAACACAAACCCCGTGACACGCCCTGTCGTTAGCAGGGATTATGGTTATATTCAAATTACAAATTATGCATGGATTGACTCCCAAAATTATGCCATCACTCGTCGTACAATCGAGGAACCTCCGGCACTGGATATCCATGGTGGGCATCCTGTTCGGGCCAATTATACACGTCGTTGATCGCTGGTTGATATCCGTAGTCATAAATTTGTTGACGAATAAACATTTCCTGTAACGCAACTAATTTGGAGGACTCAGTGCTTTCCTGGCCCCGCACATCCCAGCGACACCTTCTGGGATGTGCGGGGCCAGGAAAGGACGTCCTTGGCGAGCCCATCCCCTTCCTGTCTTCTTCACCGTCACACAAAGCGCGCAGAGTGGTTATACAGAGAAATGATCCATTATAACTAGAGAGCAGGGGTGGGACCACAGCGCATGTGAAAAGCCAAAGATCTCTCGAAGCCGAGTGCGACTCCGCAGCTCAGAGGCCAAGCACAACCTCCTCGAGGGGTAGGCGCAAGGATGATGTACCTTGGCGCTAAGGGCACATTATTGCGTTGTGGAGAATTACTGCTAAGGGCGTCCACGGCACAACATTTGTTTTACGCGACGATAATGTGCTCTGGAGAGCTCAAGGGGACACTTGCTTCCACCCGATTCTGCTCGTATTTTAAGGCTCACTATGTACTGTTCAAAAATAAGATGAAAAAAGGACAAACCTTGTCTTCTGGCTCAGGATGGAGTGTGGCCAGATTGTTCTCATAAAGATGATCAGAAATCTAAAATGGAAATCACTTGAATTTACGGTAGAACGTGTATTGAACACATTTTGCTAACAATGAGACTATTAAGGACTACGGTACTTCAAGGTTGCTAGGGTAGGTCCGAGCGCCCACGACCGTACTGGATTGTATTGCGACTGGCTTTCAAGCAGTCTCGGGGAAGCGGCAGACTGGCTCTAGCCGGCCTTTGCATGGTCGTCCGCCTACCCACTGGTGGCCTTCGGTCCACCCCATGCTAGTGCAGCGCTCAAAGGACTTATGTCTTCGACGCAAGTCCAAAGTTCTATTCTTCTTTCTTTCGGTTTTGAGTGATTCAGCACCTGCACGTGGCCCTTCTTACACTCAAATGCTTAGAACGATTTTGCGAGAAGGAGGAAGGTCACGAGCGCATGGCTATTCCGCTTGAGTGACAGAGCCCGTCTGTCCTGTTGCCCAAAATAAAGTGAGTGAGTGAGTGAGTGACATGAATTCTTTGTCTCGGGCCCTCTCATGTTGCTTCATCTCACGTCCAGCCGTCACTTGGTTGGTCATCGAAGCGCTCACGGTTTTTTCTCCAGGACCTTCTACGACACAAAAAATATGAGCAAAAAAAGGCTATATTTGCAGGGCTCTTTCTCCTTCTTTTGGCAGACTTTTCAGTATTTGCAACTTCAGATTTGTATCTAGTACTCACAGCCTGTCATTGGAATAAACGGCTGATACAAAAAAGCTTTGAACTCACATCAAGTGCAATCTGGCACAGACAGCTCGCGAATATCCTCAAGCCTTGGGTAGAGCAGATAATGGTTGTTCAGCGATTCTTCAGACACCGTTGCAGCTACACGCTTAACAGTTACCAGTTAGCACATAGTAAGCAATTAAGTTTATTAATGTGACTCTTAAAGATTTTCGGGTTGCACACTTCAGTCAACGGCATAACCAAAAATCCTAGAATGAAGTAACATTGAACTTATGCGACAATGAAAAACTCAATTCAACCTCGAGAGGCACAGCAATACTAACGAGTTGAACAACCATGCCGAGGTCCCAGCAAAAGAGAAACAGGAGAATATGCAGTTCAATGCTTTTTTTTGATTTTTCTGTATCCGTCGCCGAGAAGTTGATTCGTTCGCTCAATGCCTTTCTCCGCCAATGGAGTACTTTTTGAGGAGGATCTCAATTAGGACGATCTGGTGACTTTGAATGTATCACGTCATTTCGAATCACTGTCCAACGGGTCATTTTTTGTATAATCGTGGGCTGGCGCACAATCATCTTTGTCACCAGAATCCATATAATTTCCCCGTACGAGAGTTATTCGGCAGCAGAATGACGAATAGCGAGCGCAGTTCGGCGACGAGGGAGGGGGGAGGGACAAATTGCACTTTCGCTGCTTCCGGTTTACATCTCTCTGGTGAAACGTGTGAACTTTTGTGAAGCTGAATGGTAAAACCTGTTAGCCCTTGTGAGCTTCATAAGAGCGCTCTCTAAATAGGTCGACATGTTGATGGGAAGTAGCAATGTGCGAAATGCCTCACTTCCCCCTCCCCCCGTTGCCGATCTGCCTCATGTGGCGTACATTTTGCCAGAATTACAGTCGTCATCCGGACAGTTGATTAAGCGGCCAAAGGGCTGCGGCTCGTCACGACCGTGGCCATCAACTGTTTGCCAGCCTGGTTCAG